GAGAATAGAACATTGTCTGCTCACCAGGATGAGCAGCACAGTACCTTTTTAAAAGGTTCAGAGATTTTAGACATCTACTCTTCAAATTGCGCAAATGTAGTAAAAACGTCAGTTTTGGGTCAAACAAAACTCCCAAAAACTTCACCTCATTGACCATTGGGATTTTAAACCCATTTAAGTGAATTTCAGGGTTCAGGTGCAAAATCATGCCTTTGGCGAAAGTGTATGCACGAGGTCTTTTCTGTGTTGAAAGTAAAACCATTGGTCTTGGACCAATTGTCTTTACAATTTAGGGAGGTTTGCAGTTGTCTTTCAATGAAACTCGTGTTAGTAGACTGGCAGGAGATCCGAAAGTCATCTATATACAGTCTGTGTTTCACACTGGGAGGAAGACAGTTAGCTATACTGTTAATTTTGATTAGGAACAGAGTCACACCTTCTTCTTGCATGAAACGCCTAGATAAAGTGTTGCCCATCCTGAGATGGAATCTTCGATTCTGCAGGAAGTTTTTTTTATAAAAATTGGCAAATTACCTTGCAATCTGAATTGGTGTAGATCACGGAGTATCCCGTATTGCCAACAGCGATCATAGGCCTTTTCTATATCAGAAAACACAGACACTAAGTGCTGTCTTCTAACAAACACTTCACGTATAGATGTTTCAAGGTTTACCAAGTTATCTGTGGTACTTCTGTTCTTATGAAAACCATTCTGATGTGGTGAAAAGTTCTTTTCCTCTAGGATGAACATCAGTCGTGTGTTTACCATTCTCTCGAAGAGTTTACACAGGTAACTTGTCAGAATGATTGGTCTGTAATTAGAGGGATTTTTACAGTGTTTACCTGGCTTGGGAATGGGGATAATGATAGATAGCCTCCAAGTGTCGAGAAAGGTATTTTTCTGTCTATATTCTGTTAAACAGATGCAGGAGATTACAAAGGAAATTGTTTGACAGATTTATAATCATACTGTAGTGGGTTTTATCCGGACCTATAGCACTATTCATCGAGTGAGAGATCGCTGAATGTAATTGAATTCTAGTGAATGGCACATTATATTTTTTATTAGATGAGGAATGAAAGTTTAAACACTGTTTTTCTCTTTGGACTTTACAGACCTGAAAATTCCTTGAATACATAATATTGCTGGATGAAGCAGAAAATGTTTCACCGAATAAATCAGCAATACCCTGTATATCACTGATTATTCTGCCGTTATTTTCCAGCATGTACAGAGAATGAGAGGCATGTTTTCCATTGATTTTATGGATTTTATCCCAGACTGCTTTTGAGCTAGTGGAAGATGTTTTGCTAGAATCATACATCCTCCAAGAATCTTTTTGGCCTTGCCTCCTTATTCTTCTGGCATTTGCCTTTGCTTTTTGAAAAGCTACTAATTGTCTATCAGTGGGGTATTTTCTAAAAATTCCCCATGCTATCTTTTGTGCTTTAAATGCTGCCTCGCAATTCTGGTTCCACCATGGTTTCGGATGCGTTTGGTATCTGGTTGATGTTTTTCCCATTGTTTTTTAGGCTGCCTGAATAATACTGTAAGTGACAACTTCAACTGCATCATTGATATCAGCAGTATTGACCATTTTCTCAGTGATGTCAGCCAGAGAATAGAATGCAGGCCAATCTGCTGTTTCAAGCTTCCAGCGTGGTGGACGGGCTGTTTGACAGTTTTCTCTGCCTTGAAATTTTAAAAATATTGGAAAGTGGTCGCTAGAAAGTGGATTAGATCCAACCTTTTATGAAAATTCTAAAAATAGGTTTGGACTGGCTAAGGATAGATCAATGGCAGTGAATGTTTTTGTTGGGGCATGGAAGTATGTCACTTCTCCACTATTAAATAAATACATTTGCTGATTGCTGATAAATCTTTCAATGGCTCTGCCTCGATTGATGTCGGGACTGCCCCACATAGGATTTTGGCTATTGAAATCACCTAGTAAAAGGAATGGAGTTGGCAGCTGTTCAACTAATCCATCCAATTGATTCTCATTGACTCTGACATCTGGTGACACGTATATAGAGCAAACTGACAGTTATTCCAACAGAAATTCTGACTGCCACAGCTTGCAAATCAGTGGTTATTTGTACTGGCAAGGATGGGATGTGATTTGAAACTAGAATAGCCACACCTCCACTGGCACAGTTGTGGCTATCATCATCCTTGCGGAGCAGATTGAATCTTTTTAAAGAAATATTTTTTCTAGGTTTTACGTGGTTTTTCTGGAGTGCCACACAGAGAGATTGTGTATATGATTTGAAGTGTTTAATGTCGGAGAAGTTGTTGCGGAAACCACGACAGTTCCATTGGGTGATTTTATAACTTATTATGTGTTTGAGGCAGCGTTCTTTGTGAGAGTATCTTTCTTTAATCTAACAGGAGGTTTTTCTTTTGGAGGTGATGTTGGTTTTGTTACCTCTTTATTAGTCTCTTCATCAGAGAGATCAGAAAACTCACTTATAGATTGAGCCTCTGATTTTTATACATTAGGGAGAGCCACTTTTATTTTTTGCTTGTTTAGTGAGTTCTTACCGGCCTTATTAGAACCCAGGTTTCTTATTACTTCTGTTTTAGGTAAGGGTGTTTTTGATTTTATACTCTCCTTTCTGGTATTTCTTTTGGTGGAATCAGTAAACATTTCACATGCCGAGTGAGAGATTCCTTTGGGGGATACAGAAATGTCAGTTTGAACTCCACATGTCCTTGTGGATTTCAAAGCAGCAGCGAATGTCTTTTGTCTTACTGGTGCACTTGAAGTGACCATGCAATGCGCCTCTGGATAAGGTAAGTTGTTTACTGTTTTTACACGCTGGATTTCTTATTCTGTCTGCCATGCAGGGCATTTGCGGGAGTAGGCAGTATGCACATCTTTGCAATTCACACAGATGGAGTAGTGGTATACTCAGTACTCTGGTGACCTTCAATTCCTCACTGTGCGCATATATTCTTCCCTCGACAGGATGTTTGAGAATGTCCAAACCACTGGCATTTGAAACAACACAGCGGATTTGGAATGTATGGACAAACTGGACAGCACAGGTATCCTGCAGTAATGAAAGTTAGTAATGTTGGCTTGTTGAATGTGAGGTTAAGATGTTTGGTTGGGATGAACTTGCCATTTTGATGAATGGAGATATGTCGAACAGCAGTGACACCTTGGTCCCAAAGGCCAATCTGAATGTCTTATTTGTTTTCAGACATCAAATCAAACTCAGATATCACACCACAAGATCAGTATAAACTTCCGTGTGATGTGACAGTCACTTCCACGTCTCCCAGTGTCTTTGTTGTTAAGAGTTATGCCGAATGTTGATGTGCAACAATTAAACTATTGTCAAATAAAATGCTATTTCTCACCTTGTGGTGACTTTTAGCACCAATTTTTTTTTACCTGTAAATCAACTCAATAAAAATAATAAATTCTAAGCAATTTATGTAGAAAATAATTATTTTTAACGTGCAAAAAACCACAACAGTTTTATTTATAACTGTAATAATTAAAATTAAATCATCATAGTTATTAATCATTAATCACTGAATTAAATACCCAAAATATATATTTAAAATATATATATTTCTTATATAAATTATAAATATTAAAATATAAATACTATGTACATGTATATTACAAAAAGTTCACAACAGTGAACTTTTTGTAATACACATGTACATAGGTATACTTATGCCTATATTCTCTTTTGTAATACCTACTTTTGATTAAGAAAGTTTAACATATAAAATGTTTATTTATTTTTTTTACATAAATTATATATTGATAAGAATGTTGACTAACGGTCATTTAAGCTACTGATGCAGTCAAACCAGTAAACAGCTAAATAGAATCACTGACACTGCTGAGCAAGACAAAAGAAAGCATATGATTGACTGACTGGCTCATGTCATACTGTTAAGTCAATCACTTGCCCTTTTCCTGGTCACTACCTACTCATCGGCGTGCCTGCATAACAAGGGAATAATAATTTAAAATGAATAAAGTTTTAAATCTCATGGACCACATTTTAGCTCTTGCAGACCACTGGTGGGTAACCACTGCTGGGTAATCACTGCTTTATTCGGTAGCTTCCCTCTTGTTCTTGTCTTTCTACTATGGTGGGTTCTTCCCACTGGTCATCAGATTTGTTATCTGAGTACATCTTTCTCATGAGGATTGTATCCCCGACGTTAAATTCTTTCGGACGCATCCTCAAGTTATAATGAGCTGCATACTGCTTTTGTTTTACAGTTGTGTGCTTAGTCGCTCTTTTGTTGGCCGCCTTAATCCATTAGAGGGTCTATCCCTACTAGGGTCTGTAAGTACTCTGCGGCTTTACTATTCAGGCTATCAGGTGGTGTTACCGATCCTGTCCATACTCTTTTTAAAATGGCTAATGGCCCTACCAGAGCTCTTTTGTACAACATTTTGAAAGGTGATATGCTGGTAGTCTCCTGTGGTACTTCCCTGTATGCCCGTAGCAGGAAGGAAATGACCCTGTTCGAATTTCTCTTGTTTTCTGCTATGGTGTGGCTCGGCATATTTTTAAATGTTTGGTTCCACCTTTCCACGCTTCCATTGCTTTGCAGGTGTTCTGGGGTTGAAAACCTAATGTGTCCCACTAACATTTGGGTCATCTCCTGCATTAATCCTGCGGTATAGTTTGTTCCTTGATCACAACAAATTAGTTTGGGAAACCCTGTTTGCGTAAAGACCTATAAGAGTGCCAAGCAAGTGGCCTTCACTGAAAATGATCTCATATATTCAATTTCAGGCCATCGTGTGCATAGATCAATTATACAGAGAGTATATCAGTGACCTCTGGACAACGAGGGCTCTATCAGTCCAATCATATCTATGTTAACTACCTGAAATGGAGTGGCAGGTCATGTGTGCGGCATAATTGGAGTCCTATCTAGGATGTGAGCCGTTTCCCTCACTTGACACCTGTGACAACTCTGGCAGTATTTCTGGACATCTTTCGCCATTCCTGGCCAATAGAAAACCTCGCAGATGTCGTTGCTTTGTTTTAGTTTTTTTGCCCAAGAGCCATGTAGGCTAAGCTGCGCCAGGGCAAATGGTAAAAATTTTAAACATCACACTAACAAACATAGGACATTATTAGATAAATAAATTAATAAATAACAACAAATATATACAAAAAGATAACTAAGCAAAAACAATGTAAAATAAAACTCTAAAATAAATAAATAAATAAGTAATCAAATATCTCTATACATATTATTGACTTTCAGAAAGTCCACTATATTGTCCAGATTTGGCCTCTGGCCCAAAATCTCTCTCAAACTTGCATTTCCGAAATGCTGTCTATGACTTTGATTGAGAGCAATGCAGTGGCAAAGTATGTGTTTTACACTTAGAAAGCAATTGCAATACTCACATACTGGCTGGTCTTCACCCTTCAAAAGGTATTGATGAGTCAGTCGAGTATGCCCAATTCTCAAACGACTAAGAATAACTTTAGATTTCCTGTCATACTGTTTCTTGCATGTCCAATTTTCTATCGTAGGTTTGATCTTGTATAGTTTATTGTGGACTTGTGCATTCCACACATTTTGCCATCTCTCTGCTAGTCGTTTTTTAACAACTAGCTTCAAATTCTCTCGTAAATCATCACAGTTTAGCAAATTATCACCATATCTGTTCATTTCTGAAACAATCTTGTTGACAAGTTCGTTGTCGAAGAATATACTGAAACACTCAAACATTGTAGTATCACTCCATAGATTACATAAAATTCCTGATGGTCCCATAAAACTGTTCACTTGAGGACGTCTGAAATTTGTACGAATCCATGCGTTGTCTCTACTAAATTGCGGACATTTAGCAGTATTACTTCGATTATGCCGCATGATCTGCCTCTATATCCACTCGTAGCTGGTAATTCAGGATCAAAACCATCACTGTCATCACTCACATTTTGATCTGGCATGTAATCATCGTTGCTGTCTGAAAATTCAGATTCATCAGAACTTAAATTGAATAAATATTTGATAACTTCTGACTTATTTAGTGCGCTGTGTCTACTACTTGCTGCCATGTCAAAAAACAGCAACAAAATGGTCTAATTTTCTTCGTGATTTCTAACAAAGTACTATTCCTAGAATTTCAATAACCTGCTGAACAAAAACTAGATAACATAACGGTTCGTCTGATATGAGTCATTTATTTCAAAACACCGTACAAGTAGTGAACGTTCTGATGTAAATATGAAAATATTCAGGATAGCCTATGCAGGTTAATGAGGTCAACATGAATATTTTCGGGAACAATGTAGGACAGGTTAATGGGCCTGCTGAACCAACTATCTCGATGGTAGCGTATTCCGTCTTTCCCATTCCTGGCAGCTTCCCACAATCAGGATAGCGACTCGTCCCGGACTTGGGCATCCATTAAATCCATCCCATCTACCTTTAGGTTCCTTATGTGTCTTTCCCCTTTTCCTTGAAGCTCTTTCTTCCAGTCTAACAACATTCGATAATAGGGCATCTGTGGTCTGATGTAACTTGTTTGTTACGGCACACGTCACCACTGCCAGTCCCAATGATTCTGCGAGGCCTTCCTCCCAAATCCTATCAGGACTGTTACTAAAACCGCATCGATCTGGTGACCGAAGGCTCCAACCAGTTGAATTTTCCCCTTTGTTTCCGTCGCCGAGGTAGGTACCATTGATTCCCTTATGATTGAGAGCAGCTCCAGAATCAACTATAACTGAAAGACAATTTCTGCTGCATACTAGCTTAATTCTATTCGGTAACTCCTCAACCTTTGGTTGATCGTATGCTGTTACTCTCGCTACCAAGTGGTTCTCTATTTGGGGTCTTGCTCATAGTCACAAGTCATGATCTTTGGAAACTTTAAAGCCTGGAGCAGTTTTTTCATTTTTTGAGATATAGGTCTCATTAGGCATTTTTTTCCATGATAATCCTGTTTTATCAGAATTAAACACTTGGTCAGCCAAATAACCCTTTGTTTGAATAACATCTGCTAGTTCTGCTGGATATTTTTATGCTGCATCCTCATTTGCAGAGGCCTTTTCCCCTTGTATGCGTATGTTGTGCAACAAATGGCATTTTTTTGAATTTTTAAACCAGCTGTTGCTAGCCACAAATTTAACACTGGTTTCATCAGCAAATGACTGTCCCATTTATTTTAAATAATAAAATATTTTTAAGGCTTTGTGTTTAAGTGCACTTTTATTTAAAGGCAACCATTTCTTGTTCATATCTTCTAACCATAATATTAGCATTTGTTCCATTTTATTTCCATTATAGGTACGGTGATCATACATCCTTTATTTCACTGCTCTGTCCTCTAACTTTATCTATATATATATATATATATATATATATATATATATTAGCTGGAGGAGAATATCAACAGAACAAATCCAGTAAGATTTTTCACATTATTATTTGAGTAACAATGCAACACTCAACACATTTCATTTCAACATATGGTTAGTGACAACACTGAATAAATGTGCAATTTTTTAGTTTAACAATAGACATCATACTTATTATTAGAAGGCACTGTTTATTATAAAAATCCAAGATTAATTATAATATATATTTACCTAAGAGCTGAAAATCCTCCAAACAATGCTCCTGATGCCATTCCAACACAAAATCCTATGGCAAAACCCATTTTAACTCTATCCCAACAACTTGGACCTTGTTGATATCGACCTACTGGTACTGGCATTTTTCTATGACTAGCTGTTTCCTGTAAATGTTTATTTAATAAATTCAAAATTTTTAAAATATTAAAATAAAATTTTGTTTAGATTAATGAATCTTTTTTACTACATATTTACAGAGAGAGAGAGTAGTTTACTATGACAAGAAGGAATTCTATATAAAAGAAAACAAAATTACTTTAAAATCTACTTTTTAAAAGTATGGCAACTAATATCCAACCTCTAGTCCAAATTATATGTTTATATTTAATTAGCCAAGTTATACCCTGACAATGAATCCAGCTTTATCATTTCATTATCATCATATATCATCACACATATTAATATATCATTGAGCTTGGTTTTCTATATGAATAAATTAAAATTTTATGTCGTTACATTTGGTTTAGTTTTTCTATCAGGTAAGTGCAAAGAGGATTAATTTCAGTAATATAAGAGTTTGGAAATAAGATTTAAATTATTATTGTTATATATGCATATATATTAATAATAGTGTAATAATATATATATTTCTAATTCTAATTATAATTCTAAGAAAAAAAAATAAACTCTCACACTACTTAAAACAACCTGATTTTGTGCTATTTCACTATTGAGCTCTGAGAATTCACATCATGTGACTCACTTGTTCAGTCTTAACAATTTCTTAAATGAATTACAGTACTTTTATTGCTAAAAAAATTCATTTAAGAAGCTGTTTGAAGAAATTGAAATAAAGATTGTATTCAGGTGGATGATCAAATGCAACAGCACATGCTTATAAAGTTCATGTTTAAAATTGATTAAAAACAAAGTTAACTGAAATTGGAATGTTTTAAAACCCAGAATCCTTGCATTTTGGCAATTTTCCCCAATAGTGTCTATAGGCATAGCCGAAATGCTATTCCATTTTCACAGCTGTTGCTGTGAAATTAATTTTTATACTGCAAATCTCCCAAAACTTGGACGTATTCTGCATCCTTGTATTTATCAAGTATTTTTTCATAAAATTAATAGAACCTATCTGTTAAAGGGATACAGAATCTTTGAAATCACTTTTTTCCGTAATTATGATTCAGAATAGTTTCCTAATATTTTTATTTTTCTGCAGGACATATAGTATATAAAATGATACCTTATAAATAAATTTTCTATCACTTTAATTATGTAGAAAATATTTGAAATAAATTGATTTAATACTCNAAAACTACACATCGCACGTGAATGGTGTTTGTATGTGGTGGTAGCCCCAAGTCTCCATTCGTGCATAGGGGTGGTTGCGTCTCGATAGCTATAAGGGTGCGGGAGATATGGGCTTGAAAGTGGTTGAAAGTGACTTTCTATTTCGAATATTTTGTTCGAACATAAAATTCGAATATTGGTTCGATTATAGAACAATTGTAAATGTTCCAGAAACGTTGAAAATAGTTCGTTTGACTAAACATAAAAATTCTCTAATTAGTCTGGAAACGGGGGACCTAATTCATGCATTCTGTGAAAATGGTAAGATTAGCTATAATGTAATTATCTTAATCTTCACTATCGTTACTTTTTGAATGAATAAACACAAGTCTTGCCCGCTTCCACACTACTGGGAAGTGATCCAGTTGCAGACACCTCTGATACAGCTCACGGAGCAGGCCAGGACGTTCATGCTGCAGAACTTGTACCATTTCAGCTTTGATCCCATCAACGCCAGGTGCCTTCCTCTTCCTTAGCGTGCCCACGACGTGGACTACTTCAGATTCGGACACCAGCACGGGTAACTCGGCCTCAAGAACGGGCAACTCCGCGTCACTTCGAAGCCGCCTCTGTTCTTCGGTATCATCGGACCACTCATCGCACGGAAAGTGCGAGCGGAGCAGCACCTGTATCGATTCCTCTTGTGTGAAGGTTAGGGTACCATTGGGCTTTTTCATGGCCCCCAAGACCGTACTATGCTTGAGTTTGCCCACCGCTAGCTTGTAGGGTAGACAGAACGGATTATTGTCACTAACTTCCTTACAGAAACTGAGCCATGAGCCATGAGGTCTCTTTCGCATTGTTCAATTTGTGCTTGTACTCAGCGTTGGCCCTCTGGAACTCCAGTTTCCTGGTAGCCCGAAAGTCATTGTCCCTGCACCGTTGAAAGCGTCGGCGGAGTGCCCTCACATGCTTCCGAAGGACACTCAGTTCCTGGGTCCACCAGGGAACTGACCGGTGTTTGTGGGGCCACCCCCCTCGATGTGGGTTCCTGTCCATGGTGAGGGGACCTCCCAGAGATGGTTTAGAAACTCTTCTTTACCATCCCTGGGATCTGAACGCCCACCCACGTGTTTGCCGTGCGTGGTATCCCGTATGCCGGAAAGGGGGATCCTGGTAGTTGAGGGGCAACATAACGTCCCCAACACACTGCTTTGGCCCCTGCTTCGGATAAACGGGAGGCTCAAATCAGGCTCCGTTTGAGTCAATCGGCTGGTCGTTGAGTCAGTTTTGACCTCGGCTTGGAGTCAACCGATCGATGCAGACCGGGCGGACATGTCATACAAGATGTGCTCTTCTTGACTGCATTGTGAGGGTATAGCTCCTGGGAAACCCTGGTGTGACGGTCTATGGGAGTCTCCCATGTGACGGCATCCCCTTGTTGGGCCCCATGGTGGGTGGGGTCACTAGGAGCTGAATTTTAAAATCTAAATATGGATTCATTAAAACCTAAAACATGTACTGATGCATTACCACCAGCCTACCTTATCGTTCATGCCATGGGAGAAACACCCCTATCTAAACGCTCCCCTTTTTTGATTCAAAAATTGTTTGAATCGACCGTTGGGAATCTGAAAAAAATTCAAAAATTGAGGTCAGGAGATCTACTTGTAGAAGCAGCCTCCCCTCAACAGTCAGCAAAGCTTCTGAAAATGAAGTCTCTAGGAGACATAATGGTAACCATCACACCACACACAAATTTGAACTCATCACGTGGTGTGATATCTGAAAGCGATCTGATGTCTGAGGATGAATCGGATATTCAGATCGGTCTTTCAGACCAAGGTGTCACTGCTGTTCGACGAATTTCAATCCGTCGAGATGGCAAGTTGATACCAACGAAACACCTTATTTTGACTTTCAACAAACCAACATTGCCATCTTCTGTTGCGGCAGGATATCTCCGTTGCCCAGTTCGCCCATACATCCCAAACCCGCTACGTTGCTTTAAATGTCAGCGGTTTGGACACTCCCAAACATCATGCAGAGGAAAAAAAGCATGTGCACAGTGTGGAAATGAAGACCATGAGAGTAATGAATGCACAAGTTCTCCATGCTGTGTGAACTGCAAAGATGCTCATCCTGCCTACTCTCGGAAATGCCCTTCATGGCAGAGAGAGAAAGAAATTCAGCGATTGAAGACTATTAATAATATATCCTACCCGGAGGCACGTCGTATGGTCACCTTAAATACACCAGTGAAACAAAAGACATTCGCTGCTGCTCTGAAATCCACAAAGACATGTGGAGTTCAGACAGACATTTCTGTTTCACCCGATGAATCTCTGACTCGCCATGAAAAATGTCTGCTGATACCATCTACCAAAGCAACAGAAAAAGAGAATAACAAAGCAAAACCACTCATACCTAAAACAGGGGTAACAACTAGGAATGTGGGTTCCAAAAAAGCCAGTAAGAACCCACTTAATAAACAAAGAATAAAAGCAGCCCTGTCTAAAACTAAAAAATCAGAGACTCAGTCTATGAGCGAGTTCTCTGACTTCTCTGATGAAGAGAATAATAAGGGGGTGACACCACCAACATCACCTCCAAAAGAAAAACCCCCTGTGAAATTAAAGAGGGACAACCTTGCTAAAAATGCTGCCTCAAACACATAATGGATTATAAAATAATCCAATGGAACTGTCGTGGTTTCCGCAACAACTTCTCTGACATTAAACACTTGACGTCATCTACCTCATCTCTCTGTGTGGCACTCCAGGAGACTCATCTAAAACCTGGAGAAAATATTTCTTTAAAAGGATTCAATCTTTACCGCAAGGATGATGATAGCCACAACCGTGCCAGTGGAGGTGTGGCTATTGTAGTTTCAAATCACATCCCATCCTTGCCGGTACAAATCACCACTAATTTGCAAGCCGTGGCAGCTAGAATATCTATTGGAGTAACTGTCACAGTTTGTTCTATATACTTGCCACCAGATGTCAGAGTGAATGAGAATGAATTGGATACTTTGGTTGAACAGCTACCAACACCATTTCTTTTACTGGGTGACTTCAATGGTCACAATCCTATGTGGGGCAGTCCTGACATCAATCGTCGAGGCAGAGCCATCGAGAGATTTATAGGTAATCACCAACTGTACCTATTTAATACTGGAGAAGTGACATACTTCCATGCCCCATCAAGAACGTTCACTGCCATTGATCTATCATTAGCAACTCCGAATCTGTTTTCAGCATTTACATGGGAGGTTGGATCTAATCCACTCTCTAGTGACCACTTCCCAATATTTCTAAAATATCGAGGCAGAGAAAGCTGTGAAACAGCCCGTCCACCACGCTGGAAACTGGAAACGGCAGATTGGCCTGCATTTTCCTCTTTGGCTAACATCACTGAGGAAATGGTCAATACTGCTGATATCAATGACGCAGTTGAAGTTGTCACTTCTAGTATTATACAGGCAGCTGAAAAAACAATGGGGAAAACATCAACCAGATATCCAAAGCATCCGAAACCATGGTGGAACCAGAATTGCGAGGCAGCATTTAAAGCACAAAAGAAAGCATGGGGGATTTTCAGAAGATACCCTAGTGCTGAAAATTTGACTGCTTTTAAAAAAGCAAAGGCAAATGCCAGAAGAGTTAGAAGGCAAAGCCAAAGGGATTCTTGGAGGAAGTATGTTTCTAGTATAACATCATCTACTAGCTCAAAAGCAGTCTGGGATAAAATCCATAAAATCAATGGGAAATATACTTCTTATTCTCTGTCCATGCTAGAAAATAATGGCACAATAGTCAGCGATATACAGGGTATTGTCGATTTATTGGGAGAAACATTTTCGTCTTCATCCAGTAATATTATGTATCCAAGAAATTTTCAGGCTTATAAAGCCCAAAGCGAAAAACAATATTTAAATTTCCATTCTTCATCTAATGAGGAATATAATGTGCCATTCACTAACATAGAACTACATACAGCGATCTCTCGCTCGGGGAATAGTGCTGTAGGCCCGGATAAAATCCACTACAGCATGATTAAAAATCTGTCAAACAATTCCCTTTGTAATCTTCTGAATCTGTTTAACAGAATATGGACAGAACATACTTTTCCTGACTCTTGGAGGCTATCGATCATTATTCCCATTCCGAAGCCTGGTAAAGACCACAAGAATCCCTCAAATTATAGACCAATCTCTCTGACAAGTTGTCTCTGTAAACTCTTTGAGAGGATGGTAAACAGACGTCTGATGTATCTCTTAGAGAAAAATGAATACTTTTCACCACATCAGAGTGGTTTTCGTAGGAACAGAAGTACCACTGATAACTTAGTAAACCTTGAAACATCTATACGCGAAGCGTTTGTTAGACGACAACACTTAGTGTCTGTGTTTTTTGATATAGAGAAGGCCTATGATCGCTGTTGGCGATATGGGATACTCCGTGATCTGGACCATTTCGGATTTCGGGGTAATTTGCCAATTTTCATAAAAAACTTCTTAGAGAATCGAAGATTCCAAGTCAGGATGGGCAACACTTTATCTAGGCCTTTCACGCAACAAGAAGGTGTTCCTCAAGGCTCTATTTTGAGTGTGACTCTGTTCCTAATTAAAATTAATAGCATAGCTAACTGTCTTCCCCCTAGTGTGAAACACTCTTTGTATGTGGATGACTTTCAGATCTCCTGCCAGTCTAGCAACATGAGTTTTATCGAGAGACAACTACAAACCTCCTTAAATCGCATAGACCATTGGTCCAAGACTAATGGTTTTAGTTTTAACACGGAAAAGACCTCGTGCATCCACTTTTGTCGAAGGCGTGGTTTGCATTTGGATCCGGAAATTTACCTAAACGGGGATAAAATCCCAATGGTGAATGAGACTAAGTTTTTGGGTGTTTCTTTCGATAAAAAACTGACATTTTTGCCACACTTGCGCAACCTGAAGAGTAGATGTTTAAAATCTTTAAACCTTTTAAAGGTACTATGCTGCTCATCCTGGGGAGCAGACAAAGTTTCGATGCTCAGGATTTATAGGGCCCTTGTTCGCTCTAAGCTGGACTACGGTTGCATTGTTTATGGCTCTGCGCGAGAATCTACTCTTCGGATGCTGGATCCAATCCACCATCAAGCTTTGCGTTTGTGCACCGGTGCATTTCGAACTTCCCCTGTTCAAAGTTTGTATGTGGATGCTTATGAGCCTTCACTATCTCTCAGGAGAGAACAGTTGTCTCTTTTTTATTACATTAAACAAAAATCTCAGAAAAAACTTACAGCTGATTGTCCAGATACTCAGCTGAAAAGATTATTTGCCGCTCAGACGAGTTGTGTCCCCACATTTGACATTAGAATGGAGAATGTAAGCAGCACGATTGACCTAGACACAAGCAACATCTCACATGTTGAGGTTAATAGTATTCCACCTTGGTCAACTTCACCGATTGATGTTGATTTAAGCTTAAAGCAGTTATCTAAAGAAATCACGCCAGACTACGTCTATAGACAGCACTTCGCAGAAATTCAGCTACATAACAGGAATTTAATTCCTATTTATACTGATGGATCTAAATCGGATAACTATGTTGGCTTAGCCTTTGTTTGCCAGGATGAAATTGTGGCAGAACAAATAGCACCAAATTCTTTCATCTTTTCTGCGGAGTTGCAGGCTATTTATTTAGCCTTAAAGTATATAAATCAGAAAGGTCATCGTTACTGCGTGATTTACACTGACTCAGTTAGTGCACTTTAGGCTTTGATCTCATATGAACCTAGTTCTCAGTCCATAGTTATTAAAATTCGGAAACTAATTTGTCATCTCACTAAGAGAAATTCTTTTGTGAAGTTCTGTTGGGTCCCAGGCCACATGGGAATAAGAGGTAACGATGAAGCTGATACAGCCGCTAAGTCAGCAAGTCCTTTACAGCATACAATGCGTATTGAAGGCGGTGATTTGAAGCAAGTCGTTAAAAAACGACTAGCAGAGAGATGGCAAATCATGTGGAATGCACAAATCCACAATAAACTTCACGAGATCAAACCTTTGGTAGAAAATTGGACACATAATAGGCAATATGATAGGAGATCTGAGGTTATCCTTACTCGTTTGAGAATTGGACACACTCGACTGACTCATCAATACCTTTTGAAGGGAGATGACGAACCAGTATGTCAGCACTGCAACTGTGCTGTAAGTGTTAAACACATATTTTGCAACTGTGTTGTTTTTGATCAGAGTCGTAGACAGCATTTCGGAAATGCAAGCTTTAGAGACATTTTGGGCCAGAGGCCAAATCTGGATAATATACTGGTCTTTCTGAAAGTCATCAATATGTATAGAGAAATATGATGATTTATTTATTGTATAGTTTTATTTACTTCATGGTGCATATTTAAATTATTGTATATATTTTTTGTTGTTTATTTATTTATTTATTATTTGGCTGTTTAATGGTTAAACTTTTTTTTTGTTTGTTTGTTTGTCTGTCTGTTTCTGTTTTCATGTGTATGTATGTGTGTTTCTATTTATTCTATATGTGAAGTTGTACCATGTGTCATGGCGCAGTATAGCCTGCATGGCTCTTTTGCCAATAAAAACGAACCAACCAACCAACCTATTTTCCAGTTTTAAATTTTCTAGCAACATTTATTAGGGACTTTTCAAAGACCAATTTTAGCAAGTGCTTTTTGTCACCTGCATATTTGGTTTTTACTCTTGCCACAATTTTCAACGTGAATCTTCTTGTTACGTCGCGAACAGACAAATTCAGATCCACACCAAACAGTTCTCTGATTGTATCTATCTCTTTCTTAGATGAAATCTTTGCAGTACAGGCAGAATTTTTTTTGAATTTTATTTCATTAATGCTTTACATCTATTCTATGAATGGTTTTGCGGTTTTTTTCCATATTACATCTACTCGTATATCTGCAGAAATGTAGTTAAGTGCTCGGTAAATGCATTATTATTTTTTATCCTAAAATTAACTAAACAGCTAAAAACAAAACCATCTAGTTAATTAATTAAATAAATATAACTGTCTGCAAGCAATCAAGGAGAATGTAATTTTGGTGTCAAATTGTTTTCTTTAAATATCTTAATACATGCATTTACTTAAATAATTACTAACCTATTGTTACATTAAATTATTCAAACTTTTCATATTTAATATAAGTAAAGTGACCATAAATAAAAATTTATGTTTATGAAATAAATTGATAAAAAATTAGGTTTTGACACTAAAGTCGGATCTTGATTTTCTTGAAATTTACTATTCAGAAATAGTAAATTTCAAGAATTATTATTCTCATTATTAATAATTATTCTCAATATTATTAGAATTATTAATAATTATTCTCAATAACTAACCAATTCTTCTATTTTGAATACCGGTATTTTGAAAAATCTTGTACTCACTCATTTACCTTTATGTCCGGTACTTCTTAACCATTCGTAAAACAAATGTTTTTGGTCTCAGTGGAGGTCTGCATCAGGTTAAAAGACCAATTGGATTCCAATCTTAGAACGAACGATTTTTAAAAATTTATATTCAAACATATGAGCGTGTTACGTATCGTCGTCATTTCCTTGTTCTTCGCATACATAGTGCCACTCATAGGAAAACGCATTGCCGTGTTTGGTGTTAATACATCTCCCGGGCTTCAAGGACTGATATGGTCCATATTAAAGGTTCTATTTATCAATCTGGTGTTGGATAGATCTGC